TTCCGATATTCACAAATTCCACGATGCAAATCGATATGTTCAGCTTCGAAGTGCGCGCAGTTCTTGTGCTAACCGCTGAAATGACTGAATTCACCACTGTCACAAAAATGGCTCATTGTTTGGGGTTCCAAAGACAGATCCATGCAAATGACTGTAGATGTTTAATGGCAGTAGTCGCTTGACTGTCGGCTTCGTCTGAACCAAGAAAAGTGTGTCCGCGTACAATTCAAAGGAGATTCAGCGAGCACCTTTGCCATGCATGGTAAGAGTGGATCACAAGATACTACCGCGGCAGACTCCAAAGAAAATTTAGGTGTCCAGGTGTCTTCGAACATGCTCTTATCACTGCAACATGAGAAATTGGGATTCGTCTTTATACGGATCGTTTGGCGCGCCTTCTCTGTGTTAATAATAATAATGTTTATTCCCAACTTGTGGGTGGCATGCCGTCTGGCATGATCGTGCATTTACAGTCAGAATGGGGCATGACTGAGAGATTTGCGGGCAGTGGGGATTGCGCGAAAAGGGGACAATGTCATAAACAGTGGGAGGTACTCGATTAAATAATAATATGTTTCTTTTGCAACTTGTAGGGAACAATAGGCATGAGGTCGGAGTAATTGAGTGACTCAGTTGGCTGACATGAACTAAAACTGGAAAACCGTTGCTGGCCATGAGTGACCTTGTTCGGTTGGGTAAATGGCCGGAGTCACGACAAGCAAAAGTGGAGTCGGAGATGGGGTAATTCGAATTGGGAGAACACGGCAAGCTTAGTCTCAAAAATATGGTGCAATCCGAGAACAAGCAGACTCTTTGGTTGCTCTGTTGCCAGGAAGTCAGGTGAAGGGGTTAGGTTGGATGGGGACACAGAGGTGGTTGAATTTGAACGAGTAGTCCAACAGGTTGGAATGAATGTCATGGTGGTCTTTGAGGTCAATGAAACGAGTAGGCAAGAGGGCACGGTTGAGAGGTAGAATGGAACAGTTGCGGGACCCGCCATAGCCCAAGGCCATGAAGCCCTAGTGACGGTTCTGGACTTTAGTTCAAACCGGCCTGCCATGTCGTGGCAGCTCTGCTGCATCTCCATATCCACTATTCCGGCCCTACACTTCCTGTAGTTTGAAGTTTTTTTGTTTCTCACGTTCCAGTCTGGAAGCTCTTTGTTATGCCCTCATTTGTATTGTTTTCTTTGCCCGCCACTTTTAAACCTCAACGTTCAGATCTCGTGCCATCTGATATGCTCTCCATAGGACATAAAGAGACCTTGCAATTTTGGATTCCTACCCATGCCACCTCAGGTGTGATAAACTCTTCTCCAATAAGGTTTACTGTTTACGTCACTTTCCCTTTTCCCATTAAACACAAACCCCACCAGTCACGCCTTTATTCTGACTGTAATGCTATGATCATGCCCGACGGTATGCTACCCACTAGTTGGGAATAAATATTATTATTATTATTATAAGGGATCTTAGATACTCTATGGAGCCCACGTTGGAACGCTTCTTGAGTGTGCTAACGAAGTTGTCCAACCGGGACGCAAGGAAAACTCAGTCATTTTATGAAGCTCGTTGGCCGCACACTACTCTCAGCTGCAAAACCCTTGCTAGTAGGGAAGCCTTTTACACGACAATGTTGCATTTTGTTGCGTATGGTCTCGAACCAAAAACCAACTTTTTCCGTATTCATATTTTTGCAGCTCACCAAATTTCATCGTCTACCCAAGCAATTATACCCCTGCAATGATCTCCTAGCATTGCTGCCCCCCCAGGATGCCTGGGTGGGGCTCAAAAGCTTGAGCTGGTACTTTATACTCAGTTGTCTATCTGTTTTAGTACATCAGGGGCTTTCGAAACTACAATTATACTGTGCAACTACTGAGCACCATCATTAGGCAAACCCAACTTGCCGTTTTGAAAAATTGTTCCCGACCTCAATTATTTTGGTTGATCATGCCTTAAGGTAATGTACTACTCATAAGGTTGCTGAAAATCCATCGACAGCCCACGACCGGTTTCGCCCTTCTTGGGGCCCATCAGTTTGGCGCACACCCGGGTTTCCGTCAACCTTAAGGTACCTGACTTCTTTCCCATAGAGTTTCTTCACTTCCTAATATTCACTGGCGCCTTGTTTAGCATGTAAGCTTTCAACGATGACACAATCGATACATGTTGGGACATGGTGAAAGGTTTTTCAAGCTCAGAAGGCACTCTTTCATCAGGCCATTTTTCGTTTCGGGTAATCGGTGCATAGCATATCCTCCTTCCGGCGGTTGTTTATACCGCTTCTAGAACCCAGTTTTAAGCTTTTCTGGATTACTTTTTTGTATCCGTTTTCTCTTAAGCATATTGTCGGGCGATGAACCCGTCCCCTCTTAGACCTATTTTAGCCTGGGCCCTTCAGGCGAACGAAAAGCAACTGAACAACAAGATCGAACCTGGGAAGCTTGGGCAGACGTTATGCTTCTGTGTAACAAGCAGCAAGTTTGCGACGTCTCCAGCATTTTCAAAAAAGTTCAAAATTTTGAAGGTATTCGAAATGAGATAAATTCCAGCCATCTATTCTCCAGACCAACACCTAGGTCGCTTGAAGGCCCAGTGAGGCAGTTTTTGTAGAGCCTCCCATTGAAGTGTGCCGTGCTATCCCAGTAGACTTGGTGGAATGTGAGGCCTGAATCGGCGCCTGCGCGTTTGACGTTTTTTGTTCACAGGACTCAAGGCATCCGTGACACTTGTGGCCCCCGACAAAATACTGTTAGTAATTTTGTGAATTCGGACATACTACAACTTCAGCCCGTCTGAGTGAACATGAACTTGTGAGAATTGAGTTTGGTACGTATATCGGTATAACCAGACGAACTAGAAATCCATAATTCAGCGAAGCATAACATCCAACACGTGTGTATTCGAACTCGCGAATATGTACAGCATATGGAATATTAAAACAAGAGAATAATGTATAGAGCAACGAATAGAGTATCAGTCGTGTTCATCACATCTGCCACACCTTGAATGAGCGTGTGGATGTTTATAGTCCAGTGGTGGCCTTGACCGCAATCTTCGGATCTTCTCGGAATGGGAACTTCAGACTCTTCACAAGTTGTGTGTTCTTCAGATACGTTTTGTTCAGATACCATAAGATCATCTACGAAGGACTCATTAGTATTCGAAACAGCTGGATTGCCGTTAACAGACTGACCTCTGGTATTGAACTCAACCTGGTCAATGTGTCTCCGATGACAAGAGAGATCATCCAAATCGAGAATTGTGACCATTCGTTTGCCAGTTGATGAAAGTACTATTCCTGTAGCAGGTCGTAAATCATTACCCTTGAAAAATGTAACATCAGCGGTTTTGGCACAGTCAAGACTTGTACGCAACGAACGAGATTTAAA